TTGTATTTTTGGGTGTGTGGAGGATATATTAATAATGAAATCAGAAAAATAAAGAATAAAGAAAACAAAAATGAATAATAATAAGAATAGAATGATATAAATGAGTAAATAAAAGAAAGAAAGATGATAATTAAATAACAAAATAAGAAAAAGGTTGATAAATGATATGAAAAGATAGGGATGAACTAAAAAATTAAACTAAATTAGAATACAAGTACATAGAAATGAATATACAAGAGATGAAAAATAAAAGAAATTGAAAGAATTAATTGAAATAAATGTATTCAAGATATAAATAAACAAATATAACTATGAAAATGTGAAATTGACTGTGTGTACAAATTAATTATTAATTCAGTTAAAGAAATATAAAATAAAATGATAAAGAAATGATATAAATAAAAAATAAAATAGATATTTTTTACAATATCATTTTCAAAAAAAACACAAACACTGAAGAGATAAATAAAGTTATAAAAGAAATAAATTGTTAAATGAAAATCAAGTAAGAAAGAAGTAGAATGAATTAATTAATAGGGTCAATGAAAATAGAGATAAAGTGAAACTAATACAATAAATAATCCAAATGAAGAAATAATTATGAACTATAATATTCAAAATAACAAAGAAAGAAATATAAATAAAGAAACAATAGAAGAAGAAAAGAAAAAGAATAATTACATCAAAAGAAAAACACAAAGAAATAATAAAATTAAATAAAACACTTTGAAACAACAAAACAAATGAACCACCAATGAAATAGTAAAGGAACCAGAAAATTATACAATAAAAATGAATAAATTAGAAATTAAAAAAGTTAAAAAATGACAAAAAGAAAAATATTTAATATACTATTTGCTTACAACATTGATAATTTGAATCAAACTACATTAATATGTGAACAAAGAATAAATAACATTGAATATACAAATGGAAATAAAATATAGTGATATGTTAATTCTAAAAATGACAAAGTTGATAATTATTGAAAGATTCAAAATGAATTTTAATTTGAATAGAAAAGAAGAATATATTAAAGAACCACAACATACATTTCATTTGAATAATAAAACATATAACCATTTGTTTTGATTTAGAGAATGATATGATATTTTGTTTATAAAGAAAATGATAAAAAAAAATGAAAACATAACTCATTTTCATATAAATGAATAAGAAATGTAATTTCTTGAAAAAAATAACCACAACCTTTCACATCAAAACAAGTCATTGTAATTGAAAATATTAAATTACAATTATTTAAAAACAAGAACATTTCAAGTATTAATGAATGAAATGATGAATATAAAAATATATTTCATTTTTGTTTTATTTCATTTGAAATATTCACATTCAATTAATTAAATAATAAATAATAAGAAAAAAATAGAATTAAGAATAAGTGATAAATAAACATATAATAAAATGAATAAAAATATTCGTTTTTATTAATCATTTCATTGATTTATTTATAATATGAATATAAATGAATGGATATGATAATGTAACAAAATAAGAATAAATAAGGATAATATAAATAAAATAAGATAAAACAAATTATTATATATTTCTTATTTTATTCTTCTTATTTCTATTTTTCTTTTATATTTATTCATTGATTATCATTTCATATTAACAATGATAAATAATAACACAATATATAATAAATAAATGGAAGAAGACAATAAATAATAAATAAAAGAATAAAATATATACAATAATGATGATATTTAACAATTCAATCATACAAATCAGAATCAAATAAGAATAGAATGTGTTGAAACAAATAAAAGAAGTGATAGATGATTATTGAATCAAACACCAATAAAACAATTAAATGATGAAAATAACTAAGAATATAAAATAAAAAGAGATAAATTAGAAATGATAATAGTTCAAGAAATGAAAGGATGATGTGATTCATTATCTATAAAATAAAAAATAATGAGAAATGATTGTTCAATAACCATCAATATCTTTAATACATTGAAAGGTACAATCAAACTAGAAATAATTTATTCAGAAATTAAAGAACAAAAAAAATTAACATTGCGTCAAATAATATTAATATACAATTTGTATGTATTACCAAAGAAAGAAGTGAAGAATGGAATATTAATGAGAAATCAACTATTAGAATGTTACTTGATCATGTATGTACTATTAAAGAATTATCACAAACTGAATGACTAGTTATTATTGAATATTTACATTAATGAGAGATTTGCATATTCAGGAAGAAAGTAACAAATAATATTTGGAAGTATTAGCACTCCAGTAACATTTAGTTCACATACTGAAATATTTATAAACACAATACATTGAACAATGTCTAGTTAATGATAGAAAATGATATGAAGGATGAGGTGAATCAAATTCATTACTATTCGGATTTGTATGAATTGAAAAATTTAATAGAAGAT